GAACGAGTAGAAAACGTGTCGTCAGCACGCTGGAAAACCGCAGCAAAGGCTAGCAAAAACGGCAAATCGTATCCCAAGCGAGTGAAGCCCGGTGGCTTCACTTGCGCTGCAGCGAACAAGCGGGGAAGCGCGATCCAGCAATTGTCATAGAGATCAGTGCTCCCTATTCAGATCCTCGCGACTCAAGAGCGCGGGCTGACTCGACGATTTCAAAAGGGAGTACCTTTCTGCTGGCTGTGTGAATAAGTCGATATCATTGAAACCCTTTGCTAAGCATACGCAAGCGCGTGAAGACTGCATTATCCGCGTGCGAAAACGCCTTAGTAATAAGACAGTCTGGAAATCATTTCACCCGGATTGTCACAATCGGTACTCCGGCTCATTTCCTTCGAAAATAGCTTGCCTAAACATAATCCAGCAATAGACATTCTTCCCCCAATTCCACGTCCAGCTTTCCTCGGCCTCCATCGTTATAGTACGTGTTGCATCGAATGACACCGCAGGCGTCCATGCATATTTCTGGGATCTTAGAATACTGCTGTTCTGTTACATATTCACCTTGCTCAAGTTTATTTTTTCCTACCATACTATGATCTCCCAGTGTGGCAGGACCGTCGCGCAAGGAAGAAAGACGGCTCCTCAAACAACGTGTGCAGATTTTTTATTTTTTTTAACACTGTGATTGCGGTTTAAGGACAAACAGAGGTCCCAATAACAGTTTAATACTGGCTCCCGAGTACCCCACCGCCGCCACCCCAACGACAGTGGCGACAGGCGCAGCCATTCCAGGCGTCGCCCTGGTATGCCGACCGATCCTTCAGGACGCCGCGGCCAGTTGTCCGTTCCGCCTCCCAGCAGCGCAAGCTCGCCGCGGGGAGACAAGCGTGGCAGCGGCACGCTGCGAGTGACGTGCCAACAAAGCCCTCCCGCTGCCGCCGCCCGCGCTGTTTTGAAACGGCTTTCGCGCGTGGAACTGTCCCCCTGCCCGCCTGTCCCTTTGCCACGACCCATTACGTAAAGCCACCGTTTTTGTCTTCTGCCTAGCAGCGGGGGCGTCAATGTACGGTTCGGTAGTGCTGTGGCCGCGTGTTAGTGACGACGAGATAACTAACACCACTAGAGTTTAAAAAGGCTACGTCCAACCGACCCAATCGCGAGATCCACTGCTGTGGAACCGCTCTACGGTCACTAGGGAGATTTAGTAGGTCGTTCCGATAATCCCGATAACGGTAACCGATAATTATAGCCCCGCATATGCGCGGATTACCCGCGGATCACCCGCGGATATACGCAGTCAACTTGCGGATACGGATAAAATTTAACCACATTCGAAGGGTTGCGGATCGGAGGCGAATATCCGCTGGTCCGGATCTACACAATTTTGCCGAGCCAAGACCCATAATCGTGCGCGATCGCGGAGTGTAGAGTGAATAAGTGAGTGATGGTATAAAAGTGCATCGAGCAATGTTTTCCGGGAGCAAATTATCCCATTAGAAAAAAAGTGCCGATCGGGGAGAAAATTGTTCTTTACGCCTAGACACGATTTTCACGAAAAATGGCTTTGGGGTGTTGTATGTCGCCAAAACTGTTGTCACAAGAAAAAGTAATGCATAGAAAACCCAAAAGCGTACGAGCCACAAGAAAACAGACGCCCGCCCCTCTTGATTTCTCGATTTTGTGACGCAAAAATAAATGCGTAAACTGCGGGTCGGATGTGGTTCAGAATTTTGCGGATGCGGTTCGGATACAAAGTATGCGATTGCGAATCGGATGAGGATATAATAATTTAAGAGCGTTCCGGATGCGGATCCGACGCGGACGATCAAACTGTTATTCGCGCAGGGCTCTACCGATGACGATACGACGGGCGCTGGTGGAGTGCAGGGCTCCCCTACCGGACATGCCTCAACCATCTACTAAAACTTCCTAGCGGAAGTTTTGGAACGGCGGGGAGACCTTCCAGTTGTCCCGCCTCCAGCGCGAGCTTCTCATCTACGATTACGATAACGGTTTGGTGTCTCGTGATATTTCAGCTTACAACTGCGCCCACCCCAAGTACGACAGAGGGCAGCGTGCGCGTACTGAAGGCCGGGTTAAGCCGACGTATGCTCGCTCGTTTCGCTGCGTTTTATGGCAGATGAGAGAAAAAAAGAAAAAAAAAGCGAGAATAAGGCTCTCACAAATAATCTGTTTCAGAGAAGACAAAGAAGACCCCGCAGAACACGACAACAAAAGGCGAACCCTGATTCCGGTCGGGCTTCATCGCAACGCTTTTGTTGCTTGCCGCTTAAAAACTAAAACAATAAAAAAAAATGTCGTTAAGATATGCAGAGCATAGGGTTGCCGCAATCCAACACAATTCGGACGCTCGGTTAAAGGACGAAAAGAAACCAACAAAGCGGGTGGAGGAAATCCACATCAAGACAATGACGGTGCAGCCCAGCGCGACGAAGAATCAGACGAGATGAAATTCCCCAAACGTAAAATATAATAAAAAAAACTTTGAGGGTGCCGAGACGACGAGATTTCGAGGTTCGTCGCGCCGCTTCTCTTTTATCCAGTACACAGCCAAATATATGCGGTTGCTCAACACTCGTCGTGACGTAATCGGGTTCCGAAGCAGCATGGGCGCATTCCAATTCGCGGGACTGTATACTGCCAACGTCGTGGACGTCGATCGAGTGACCAGGGGGGAGCCCCGGTGACGAAGGAGCTTCGTTTAAACGCGGCGGGCGAGAAGCGATGGCACCAGACAGACATTCCCCGAAGCACAGACGCGCCTCTAGACCAACTTAAATCACTGACGTCACGCTACAGCGGTGGCGCTGCTGTCGGTACTGCGCATGCGCAGCGCCCACACCTGGTGTGGGCAAAGCGAGCTTGTTTTGTAAACACCGTGTTGGTGTATAAAGTCGCGGTCACACTGCACAAACATCATACGAGTATAATAACAGCCGCGGTGCTTGCCACAGTCACGATGACACATAAGTACCTGTGCACACGCCTCGGGCATCTTCGAAGCATGTTTGTTCCACACATAAATGTATGCTTCGCTCGTGTCTGCAGACTGTATTCTGTACGATGAATTGGCAGCAGCCGTCACTGTCACATCCCGTATACGCGACAAACTCCAGTAGGATAGAGACTCACCAGCCAACTCTGTTCTTCGACGGACATTGAAAAAGACGGAACCGGGCGCGTAAAACATCCGAGCCTTTACGCGCAAACGGCAGCAAATGTAAAATGCGTTATTAGCAATCTTTAGCACGCGAAGGATGCATGTATCGTGTACTACGCGTACAATGCGCGATACAGCGATTCACAAATGCTAGTGTGATGAAAATTGGGTTCATACGGAACGCTAACCTAAGCAGTAAAATTTGCCGCCCTCCAACACTCAGCTTTTCAAAGCAAAATGAAAAAAAAAAAAAAAAAAAAACGTTGATGTCGTATTTTTGCACCAGCAGTGGCGGGCAGTATACGAGCGCAAATTCAAGAAGCGGAGCTCACGTTCAGCTTTTTGTTTTCTTTCGTTTTTTCACCAACCCTTCCAGCCCCGTTAACCTACGGCGAACATTATTCGGAAATTTCCGGTTCACGAGGCGAGGACAAGGCAAAATACTTCGAACGAAGGTGTCATTTTTTTTAAACTATAATAATGAAATTTCCCCCGATCGTCTCCCGATAAAACAAAGAACACCCTATAAACTCGGTATACTCAACCCACGCGGCAAGCAGCTCTGATAAGAGTTCCAAGACGTAATTACGAGCGATCTCACATGTTGAGCGCATTGCGTTGCGGAGCTTGGACACAAGCGCCGGTGCCTCGAAAACAAAAGACAGATAAAAAGACGCAGGAGAGAAAATTGCGGGGGGCACCCGTACGCGAAACGCACTCGAGGGGAACGGTCGTCCGCGGCCCAACGTCGAAGGCCATCCGATCGCCCAGGCACGAGCGCAGAAACAGAAAATGGCGAAGTTGCAAAAATTGCATCATGCAACCTGCGTAACTTGCGTAACAAAAAAAAAAAAAAAAACGGTTTTCGGGGTTTTTACGCGAAGATAACTCGGACAAGCCTCTGAACCGAAACTCATAAACTTTTGTCCTGCAACGCAGTTTAGCCCTTCGTTACCGCCTCGCATGTAAAGCGAGCGATAATTGGAAAGTTTTGAACGCTCACAGAGACGACAATCAAATAAAAAATATACCAAAAAAAAAAACGCAACCAAATAACAACCCGCGACCTGCTTTAACCAAGGTGTGCATTCGCTTTATCTTTAAAACAACGATAAATAATAAAGACACGGCCTTAGAAAGTGGGCTTGGCCAAGGAAACCTATTCAGCACACCCGTATCTCACATCACAATGTGAGGCGCAAGACGTCTCGAAGCAGAACAGCGAAAAAACGGCGAAGCCGCTCGTGTCGGCAGCGTACCAAAGGCGAAGTCGCGAGCTTAGAGGTAACAAGGGCTGGTCGCAATTCCTCCGGAAAATTTACATCCACGCCAACGAAACAACTCGGAAAGCGTGTGCTCCGGTCCTACCGCGATTCAGACGGTGTCGCATTTGCGCGTAAATTTCGAGGGGAAAAAAAAAAACAAAAAAAAAAACAGCAACGCGAGCCAAGGATGCATTTTGACGCTACTCAGAACTCCATCTTCTGCCTTGAAAAAATTCAAAAAGGATACTGGGCGATGTAATCTTGCAGTGGCGAAATCCAACACGCGTGTTGCGTTCCATATATTGTGGCAAAAAACGAAAGGACTTCCCGCTGTGTCTGCGGGAGCTTCGTAAGTAAAACAGAAAGAGGATTCATCAAGCTTTTCTATGCATATTTCTTTTCTTTTCTTTTTTTTTTTTCTTCTTCTTTCCGAAGTTGGTGAACGTATGAAAGTAAATAATATTCTACTCGTTGCATCTGAGAAGCCGCGTTGTGGAATCTTCTCGGTGACGGTCAGCCGCCGAAGAACGAAGCATGTGAAACGCAACGGGGCTCACCTGAGCGATGACCTGTGGCATGATCACGTGCTCGCTGGTGGGCCGGCTGCGGTCGTCACTGCTGCTGCTGACGCTAAAAAAGAATAAAAAAGTTATTTGTAAATAAAATTCGCACTTAAAAACAGCGACCTCCCTTTTTTCTTTTCTTTCTTTTTTTCTTTGCAGAAAAGTGCGCAGGGTAAGTTGATAATCCCAATCCGCGGACGACAAACACAGCAAACGTACAGTGCAGCGTAAAATACGTCTACGAGTAATTCATGTATGTATACGCTGTAAAATCGTATCCGCATGTTTCCTTCCCCGCGGAACACGGCACGCCAAGGGTCAATCCCTGAGTAAATAGCGAGGCACAAAAACAACGTCTGCGCAGAGACTGAACGTTTGAAAGATAACGGTCACTGTACCTGTGCACATATAATTTTCAAACCTGTCTTTTTTTTCTTTTTAGCTTTATAATTTGCTGGGGCAACTCCGTTGATCGCCGTGACTGAATTGACCTTTCCCGTGATCTGCGGAGAAGACGCACAGGAAATAGCGGCACGACTGTGTGTGGCGAACTTCAATAATCACCAGGCACTTAAAGGAGCAATGCAACAATTTTTGTACTGTGCACAAATACCGCTTAAAACGGATCCCTAACGTTAATGACCTATGACACACGCGTTCGTTTTTCCCGCCACGCAATAGAAGTCCCAGAAAAAAATTTAAGAAAAACAAGCAGCGTTCACCCCCTCAACTCGCAGCCAGAACAAGCGGCCACGCGATATGGAGCCGATTATATGCCGCCAGTGTTGATCATAGCCACGCGCTGGAGTTGGCAAAGTACAGGACACGCGCTGAGTTCCAGACATTTTTATGGCTCGGCTGTTGTCGTCGTCGCAGCGATTGGACACGGGTCACAACACGAATGCTTCTCGAGCTAGCAATTGTCACGAGCCCAAGTCGAGTGCCCACGCAATGCTCGGGTCCAATCTATGAACCGCATTCAAATATCGTCACTTGGGTGTACTGCGATCCCCGAGTTACGTCATCAAATTTTGCAAAGGAGAGATTGAATGAAAATGATCGCTTTTGTCTTTGAAATTACACCGCAACAAAGGAGTTTCTTGGCCAATGGCGTTGCGTGTGAGTATCCTTGAGTCCCAGGTGTGCCAGTAAGCTTGTGTAGAGAGAAAAAGATTCCAATGGAATATCGTTGCACAGCTCCTTTAAGATATCGAAGCATTGTCCGGTAAAGACAGTCAGAAGCCATGTTCCTGTCTCGACGTGGCTGCCCACGCGCTTTGAGCCATCATTGTTTGCTGCTTCGCGTGGACTACAAAGTATCGTCAGTCTTGCACGTTTCGGACAAGTGCACTCTGACCTGTTTGAGAAAGACTCACGGAAGGTGTAAGAACGTGCAACACGCGCGTCAAGGTAGTTTTCGCAAGCCTTCAATCGCACGCGTTTATTCACACGGCGTTGGCCAGATAGATGTCTTGCTTTCAAGTTGTGTGCAGAATGCTATGTTGCCTTCACCATCGGTAGGGTCACACGCAATGGAAAGGAGCCACACACGCCGCCGTGTCTCTGCCCTGCATTCTTCACAAAACGCGGTACGATAATTTATAAGGGCGCTCGATCAGGATCAACGCTCGCAAAATAAACTGCCACCCCCCTCAAAAAAGAAAAAAAAAAGGTTATTTTGATAGAGGACATAGCAGGATCCATCCAGTGCAGTAACAACGGGATAGGATACCCAAATATTTCGCTCTGCGCCAAGCAGACGCCTTTCCTAGGCAAATGGACGCTGCAGGCAGAAAAGGTTACGCTATTTTTTTTTTTTTTTTTACTCTTTACTCAGGTAAGCTTATTCTTTGCAATTGTGATACACAAAATGCACCCTCTTCGGCTACCTTTGTACAAAAAGTTTACCTCGATAATTAAGGAAACCGATTAAGGCAGTCCCCTCAAAAGGCCAATGATTCATTTGGCTCACACGGTATGGTGAGCGCGCGGGGAGTAAATGAAATGATAAAAGCACGGCCGCGAAAAAAAATAAAGGACGTTCTCGTCACTCCAGCCACCAGAAAGCAATCGGAGTCGAGGTCCTCGTCCATCGATATCCGGATCGATATGAAACCGGCTCGTCCGATGTATGGAAATGAAGTGGGCGAAGCCAGGGTCAGCGGCCCCAGATCATACGGGCACATAACAACCTCCGACTCGCCCCGACGACGGAAACTTCACACGGCGACTGCGTTGAAGAGCACCCGCCGCCAAATGTAATGTGATCCGATTAATAATACTCGTCCCCGGAGCAACCGAAATGCAATTAAATAAGTTATTGCTTCACGGAAATTATATTACGAGCCACAAGTGTTCTTGATGCTGCATCTCAATGAGTGCATACATTCCTTAATAATGCATTCTTTTTTTCTTTTTTTTTGAGGACGACGAATTTCGCAAAAAGCTCGTCTTTTTCTTTTTCTTCTTTTTCTTACTTGATGTCTTATTCAATTCAACTTTTATTCATGTAGAAAGAAGAAATTATAACATTTCTTCGCTTTAAATATTCGACTTCTTTATTTATTTATTTTTATTTTATTTTTTTCATTCGAAACTTTTGCAATATTCCTAGGCCGCGGTTCGCCGACTGATTAGGCGCGAGACAGCGTAAATTTAAATCATACTTCTTTGAATTGCCTTTTTTTCGTTATTTTTTTTTTTTTTTTTCTACGATGGCCATTTGTCCGCCACTCTGCTGTAATCGTCTTACGTTTTTAAAAGCTATTCGAGCACTTCCGCCCGCTGGTCCCGACTGAAGCTGCATAAAACAGAGAAAGCAATTTTGTGAATCTGTTTTGTTTCCTTTACCGCACAAGCGAATGAAATTACGACTCTTGTCTGTTCGCCTTTCACGTCGTAATTTCGTTTCAGATCCTAGAAGAAGAAAAAAAGGAGACAAAAAGGAAACTTTAATTTTGACATCAATTCAGAGAAATACGTCCGCCGGGCAATATTTTGTAATATTCATTTAAAAGAATGGGGCAAGCGAACCACTGGTGCGTGCTACAAAAATATTTTAGTACTTTTATCGTTACTTTTGTCATTGGTCTATTAAAATAAAAGGTCTTCCGGAAAAAAAAAGTTGGAGGCCATCATTCTGTAATTTGTACATCAACGATTCAGTCAAGCTGTCCAGAAACGTCATAATCGTTACTTACGCTGACGATACTGGTATTTTCGGATTGAAAAATAATTTAAAGAAAAAGCATCGCTAAGTTTGCGAATTATTTACCTTGGAACCCTCAGGCTTGGAGGTGCCAGAAATTACTTACAAATTAATGAGTATAAAGCTCAAAGCGGTAATTTTCAGGTCTTAAAATATCATCTATTATGATTTCGAAAAAAGTGAGGTGGTTTGCAGTTCACCACCAAGAACGATGGGGGCATCTCTCAGTGCCCACATTTCTTGCGATACGCAATTCGCTATATTACAACAAATATTAAACCTTGAAGAACATTCGGTATAGTTTACAAGCACCATTACCAGTCAGAAAAGCTCGTTATATATTAGACAGTTTTAGTATAGCGTTGCAGGCGCTAGCGTACACAATACACAAAAGTATAGCGTACGCTATAAATAGCCTGCACAGACCCCTTTTAGTGGTCCGTTCCGCAAACGCTACCAAGTCGACCGCTTACTAGATAAATCGCAAAACCTGCGGCTGTGATTTTGAGCGTTACTTAGCGCCACCTAGCGCCATAAAAAGACGATCTAACATTAGACAGTTTTAGTATAGCTTTGCTGGACCTTACGTACGCAATATGCAATAGTATAGCGTACGCTAAAAATGACCTGCTCGGATTGAATTTAGTTGTGCGTTACGTTTTCGAGTGAACACCGCGCATGATCTTGGTTAAATTTGCTAGAGCCGTAGAATTCCGCGTGCTTATAGCGCAACCATGCTCCTGGAAAGAAATATTGAAAAAGAAAAAGTGTCCAATCACTTTATTTCAGATTAAACCAAGCCACAGCTGCCTCGTCAAGCGCTTTCTGCGGGGTACAGAGGATACGAGTACGAGTGCGTAGCCAAATTCGATCACGGAGCCTCCGTCAGTCGTCCCGTGGAAACGGCACCTTTTATCAATGCTATCGCGGAGTGAAATTCATGACCCTGATGTCCAGTGCATAGCGAGAACTTCGGCGATTTCTTTTAAAGTCGTTCGTATGTCGGCGATGAACTGTGGGAACAGGCTTAGCGTTGAGCAGATCGCAGCGTCGACGCACACTGCGAGCGGCGAACACTTCCACTGTGCACTCCTTCAGCTGCAGGGCGATCTGATTCGACCGCGGTAGGTCCCAGAAAGAATCGCTGAGCTGAGCACCACGCAATTTCACGCAACACAGAGCTTCGAAAACTCCACGTCGCCCTTGCTGCGCCAGTCGAGGCAACCGCCATCTTGAAACTGGCGCTCTCGTTGGGTCCGAGATCTCTCGAGAGCGTCCCGCAAGGCCCGCTAGCCAGCAACGCAAAATCCCCAGCGTTGCGTCCGTACGCAATACGCTAGCCCTTCTATTGCGTTCTGCGCATGCGCACTCACGACCCGCAATTTCCTTACGTACGCAAAGCTATAGCGTACGGTCCACTAAAACTGTCTATTGTTTCGCACAATACTGTAGCGTTAGGGGAATTCGAACTGTCGTACTTTCATCTTGTACGGCAAGGGGGGAGGGGGGGGGGGCGGGGGGGGGGGGGCGTCAACCTACGCTTGAAGATTAGCAGGTGACATATGTATTTCGGAGAAGGGCAGTTCGTCTAATCAAGAATGCTCCGTATAATAATATTGCTGCACCATTACGTGAAAAGATAAATAAATAATAATAATCATAAAATAACGCAAATGCCCAGATATTTAAATTTAAACTTAATAGATTTTACTATAGTCGGCGACAGGTTAAGAGGCCACTATTCAAGGTCAGTTCACACAAGGTTATTTTTCTATATTACGTTACGACCGTTACGACCTCAAGGGGCAGCTTCGCACGCGACGTACTGAACACGAATGTCCCGGAGATTTCTCACGTAA